CTGCCGTCTCCCTATATATACTGGTGGGGAGGTTGGCTGTGTTGTCATTTCTTGATTGGTTGATGGAGTTGATGTTTGCAGATTGGCTGGCTTTTTTGTAAGAACATGTGTGGCTGAGGTATTAGCTGTGTGTCTATCAGCCTCCTTTATTGTAACGACCTGGGTCATGGGCTATGTAATGATCTTCTGAGTTCTATTGTTTTGACATCCTGGCTCTTGTGCTGTAATCTCCTGGGTCGTAATGACCTGGGTCATGGGCTGTGTGATGACCTTCTGAGTTCTATTGTTGTGACATCCTGGGTCTTGTGCTGTAATCTCCTGGGTCGTTGGCTGTGTTGTAACTTCCTGAGGTTTTGTGGTATAACCTCCTGAGTTCTGTGATGTGATATCCTGAGCGGGTGGCTGTGATGTGACAATCCAGGTTTTGGTTTGGCTCCGAGTTTGAGGCCTGGATATGTGTTCATGGCATGTATCCGTTTGCTTGGTTTGGGGGTCAGAGTGTGTGGCAGCTGGTGATGCAGCCATGGTCTGGTTTCTGGACAGTGGCTGTCTTTCGTCTATGGGATGGGTTTGGGTTTGAGTCTGGTGAGGGAGAATGGTGGTGGTGTCATATGTTGTTGTACATGAATAGATGGGACGATGCCTCCCACCTACCAGACATCTGGAAATTAGTCCTTACCAACAAATGAGTCCCAGCTATGAAAACCAACACTGGACCCAAAACAACACTTGATACCATCACCATTCTCCCTGTGAAAGTCTGACTCACAGACGAACACAATACAGAAGCCTGATGATGGCAGATGAGATTCTGCCGAAACGTTGCTACAACTTTAAAAGCACAACTATAATGACGTGGGAAAATACCCGAACAAAGCTGAATACCATACATATAAATACCCATGAAAACTTAAGAAAACAAATATATATATATATATATATATATGTAGATCTTTGGTTGTTCGGGTTTTCTCCCGCGTAAGATTTGAAGTATCTAGGCAACGTTTCGATGAAGTCTCATTCATCATCTTCAGGCTTCTGTCTCCAGCTCTGTGCTTCTCAGAGTAATGGAGATTGCAGCTGCTTCCTCCTTTTAACTGCCAGTGGGGGTGGAACTTGATTGGGTGGGGGCTTGGCTGTGTTCTGATTGGGTGGGGGTGTGTTCTCATTGGTAGGGGGTTTGGCTGTGTTCTGATTGGTTGGGGGGTTAGCCGTGTTCTGATTGGTTGGAGGCGTGTTCTGTTCAGGAGGGGGCTTGGTTGTGCTCAGGTTAGTTTTAGTTGCTGGGGGATTTGAGCTGGAGAGTTGTGATCTTGCTGTTTGGCTTCTGGTTCGTGGTCCTGCTGCATCTTCATAGTGGGTGTTGGTTTGCTTCATGTATGGCTCAGAGGGGTTTGAAGTGGGTAGTGATGCAGCTGCAGTGCAGCTTCTGGTCCATGGTCGTTTCTCATTTTCTGAATGGGTGGGAGTCTGTTTTCTACATGGAAGTGTGGTGGTGGCATCTTGTGTGGCTCTCATGGGTGTGGGTCCAGTGTCCTTCTTCATGTTAGGTACTCGTCTGTTCATGAGGGCGGGTTTCCAAATGGCTGGAAGGCGGGAGGTGTCATCTCGTTTGTTCATGCTGTGTGGGCGTTTTTCTATCTCTATGGCTTCTCTGATTATTCTGCTGTTGAAGTGTTCGGTTTTGGCGATAGTTCTGGTATTTTTAAAATCAATTTTATGTCCTGTGGCTTTGAGGTGTTGGACCAGGGAAGAGGTCGTTTCTTCTTTTTTGATTGAGTTCTTATGTTCTTCAATGCGTGCGCTTATTCTTCTGTTAGTTTGTCCAATGTATGTGTTAGGGCAGGCTGTGCAGGGGATTTCGTATACTCCTTGGTTTTCTAATTCGATTTTGTCTTTGGGGTTTCTTAGGATGGTGGATATTTTTTTGTTTGTGCAGAATGCTGTTTTGATGTTGTGTTTTTGGAGGATCTTGCTAATTTTGTCTGTAGTGCCTTTTATATATGGGAGGAGGGCTTTTCCGTTTTCTTGTTCTCTGTCTTGGATTTTGGTTGGGGCTTCTTTTTGGATTAGGTGGGTAATCTTCTTTCTTTGGAATCCATTGGCTGTGAGTACGTTGGTGAGAGTGTGTAGTTCGGTTTTTTGGTGTTGTTCATCAGCTAAGCATTTTGTTCTGGAGATGAGTGTCTTGGCTACGGAATTGATCTGTGCTGGGTGGTGGTGTGAGAGTGCATGTAGATAGCGGTTAGTATGTGTTTTCTTCTGGTAGATGGTGTGTCCTAGGGAGCCATCGGATCTTTTGTATACCAAGACATCTAGGAAGGGAAGTTGATTGTTGGCTTCTGTTTCCATGGTGAATTGTATTCGATGAAGTCTCATTCATCATCTTCAGGCTTGTGTCTTCTGCTCTGTGCTTCTCAGAGTAAGCACAGAGAAGCACAGAGCAGAAGACACAAGCCTGAAGACGATGCATGAGATTTCATCAAAACGTTGCCTAGATACTTCCAATCTTACACGGGAGAAAACCCGAATAACCAAAGATCCACATACAAATACCCGCGAGAACCTCAGAAAACAAACAAATATATATGTTCTGCTGAAACATCGCTATAACTTTAAAAGCACAGCTACTATGACATGGGAAAATACCCGAGCAAAGCCGAATGCCATACATGTAAGTACCCGTGAAAACTTAAGAAAACATATATATGTATATATTTATATTTATTTATTTATTGGTGGCCAAAATTGGATGCAGTATTCCAAGTCTCCCTGGATGAAAGGAGAAAAAACCCTTCAGCCACTATTCGGTTTCTTCTATTGGTAACTTGGGGGCCCTTAGGAAAAGGCCCCCTCCATTTGTGTGGTTTATTGTAAGGATGGTGAGTTTTTCCCAGCACTTCCGTTGGTCATCTAGAAACGACACCTCATCCATGTGAACAGGAGATCAGGGAAACCTTGCAACCGCTCAGCCATATTTCTACACACTCCATGCCCTTCGAAGCACAGGAGATAAACATCAGCGTAAAATTAGCTTCATTAGAGATCTATTGCCCCATATAATTCCCATCAGTTGAATTAAGGCTGCAGTTTACATTAAATCATGCTTTGGTCTCTCCCCTGCTTGGAAACCCGATGGCCATGGACAGTTGTTCGAACGTCTTACGTTCTTCCGCTAGGGTTGATAACATCATAATTCCTGCTGCGTTAGGAATATTCCCAGATCCACCTCGAAGCAATTAAGCTTAATCCAATTAGGGAGACCCAAGACTGTATCTCGTAATCCAGCTTTACGATTCTATTTGCAAGTTCCCCCACCGAGTTCATTCTCAGTTTTAACATCTGCCGGGGGAAGCAAGATTTTCTCTGGGTGTCTGCAGGGTTAGGAGAAACGGGGGCAACAGATGTGCCTGATTTTTAAAGATGGGCAGATTAAGAGCTCTGAAGAAAAGGAAGCTGTCCAGATCCAGAGGCTACCGCGATGGATTTTTTTTCCAGCTAATTTGCTATTTAAAGATGAGCTTGGGAGGAGTTGGTGGATAATGATGATAAAATGGCCTAGGCATGAAAGCTGGATGGGTGATCTTGAATGTTCTGACCCAGCTCCCTGAACATGACAAACCCCCCCGTATTTAAATTAATGATTCCTTTATTAGGAGTGCCAGCAGCCCCAGGAAAAAGTTTCTCACCGCAGGCTAACAAGTCTATCCAGTAGGGGAGAGAAATACATGTCTGCCGTATCTATTCATCTCCACCCGCTGCCTTTTATTCCCAGAGCTAGGAGGGGCTTTGGTGGCTCTTCCGTCCTAAGGACCGGCCCATAGATTTCCACTGCTCTCCTCTCCTCTGCTTTCTGTGCATCTGTGTGTCAGGCACTGGACCCAGCTGTTCCTCCTCTTCCTCATCAGACACCTCCAGACCTGGGGGCTGTTAACTCTCATTCTGAGGGCTGATGGATGGGCCAGGCTCTGCCTCTGCCTCTCTCTCTCTCTGCCAGCTCCATTCCCTCTTCCACCTAGGAGTTCTCACATTGCCTTCATGCTGACCCTGACTCCCACAACTCCTCCTCCTCCTCCTCTGATTTGGCTGCTTAAGGAACCAGCAGCCGACAGGTCACAACATTGAGGCAATCACCAGGAGACGGTGAGTTCTAGTCCTGTCTTATGCATGAAAAAAAAAATGATTGAATGGCTTTGGGCTGATCACCAGGAGACCGTGAGTTCTAATACTGTTTTAGGCATGAAAGCTGCCTGACAACTTCTCCTCGTCTGCACTTCCTGCAGCCAAAGTGAAGCTGGTAGTTTCCTATTGTAATTTATGGCAAGCGCCAGAGGTCATGGGGTCATGGAGAATTGGGATTGGATGGAACTCCACATCCTGCTTTGGAAAATTGGAGTCAGTATATTGGAAGCTCTAGATTAGCTTTTGAGGAATATTGGTTCTGATGACCCAGGTATAAAGACCTGGGGGGGAAAGAAAGAAAGAAAGAAAGAAAGAAAGAAAGAAAGAAAGAAAGAA